CCAGCCTAACTTTGGTGAGTTTAATATTTGAACTCTGTTTGTGATTGGTCTAAATTTATGTGAGTCTTTTCATTGGTTAACCGACTCTCATCGGCCAACCAATGAAAAGACTCACATAAATTTAGACCAATCACAAACAGAGTTCAAATATTGAACTCACCAAAGTCAGGCTGGATACTCGTGTGACCAGAGCCTCCTACCAGGGTCATACAGATTATAAATAACACTAGAGGAGGCATCGAGTTAAAAAATCGGGAACGCAGCTAATGGGGGGCAAATTCAAGTCCCGGATATAAAATCGTGCTCTCATTGGCTGATTTGAAACTCGTCACCAATGGGAACACGAATACACATCCGGGACTTGAATTTGCCCCCCCCCCCAATAGTGGCGTTCCCTTTTTTTACTGAATTATGATTACAAAAACTACTAGAACATCTAATGTCCTCAAATGACATTGTTCTCATTAACCTATATTCTCTAAATTTATCTCTCTCCGCTTAATAGAGCGAGAAAATAGCCTCAAACCCATGGAAAATACGTAATAAAAAACGACTGCAGCTAATTTCAAATTCATTGCGAAAATCACACTGCAAATTGTTTTTCAATCTTTCATAAAAAAACCCTTACTTAGAAACTACGAATACGATCTATATTATCCATAAAATAGATGTATAAATCACTATAATGACACTTTCACTTTATATATATATGTTCGTTTCTTCAAAACCTTCTACTGTATGTAATTATATATATATATATATATATATATATATATATATATATATATATATATATATATATATATATATATATATATATATATATATATATATATATATATTTCATATTTTTATGTCTTTGTTTGACATTCGACAAAGCAGCAACACTCGCTAAGTACGAGGCGCGCATAAGTCTATACAATGAACTATAGAGTGCTCAAGAACGTGGTACCCCGAACGAGCATAATATAATAATATGCTCGTTATTATGCTCGTTATTATGCTCGTTATTATGCTCGTTATTATGCTCGTTATTAATTTAACTAGAGCACTTTTAGTGCAATGATCTAATTGTTTACTTAAACACCTGTAACCTTATTGTTGGTGGCATAATTACCCTTCGTTTCTACCTGTTGCACTATGAATTGCCTAGAGTATATATAACTGGCAGACAACCCTGGTCTTACAATGCTTCTCGTAGGTTTGAAATAGTGTGCGAAGATGGGAAGAAATAGAAGAGGTTGTGGCCGTAGAGGAACGAACCGTACACACGACTATGTAATTTTAATATCAATAATGAATAAAATTCTTTACGTTAACAGTGTGGTTTCCTTCCTTTTAAGTGTCCATCCAGGGTCACAAGGCCTGGACACTACGTTTGATCACTATGATCACGTAGTGAGCTCACGAGTGGAAGGAAATAAAGTAAGCAAGACCTTGAGAAAAAAACTCAACAAAAAATATCGAAATCATATATTATGCTCGTTCGGGGTACCACGTTCTTGAGCACTCTATAGTTCATTATAGAGTGTTGCTGCTTTGTCGAATGTCAAACAAAGACATAAAAATATGAAAAATATATATATATATATATATATATATATATATATATATATATATATATATATATATATATATATATATATATATATATATATATATATATATATATATATATATATATATATATATATATATATATATATATATATATTATTATTATTATGCCTCCTCTAGTGTTATTTATAACCTCTATGACCAGGGTAGCCTGCAAATTTTAAAATTATATACCTGTTCGCAGGTTTAGAATTTTGCTCGAACGAATTTTCTAGTGATGCAATCTCGTTCCCAGAGTATGCCTGTTCGCGGGTTAGGTAGTGGCATGACTCTGGGGAAATCGAATTTTTTTTATCCAAAATGAGATAAATGGCGCATGCGCTTTTATTGCTTTTGTTTATTCCGCTTACTAAATTCGCGCGGGCACACGCTCACAATCGATATTGTTTTAAACAAAGATTCTCATCAGAATATAGTGTACAAAATGGTTTTTTATACGTTTAAAGGTGCTTTAAATCGTACTACTAATAAATTATATTCAATGGCAAATACTAAAAGAGCTATGAAAGCTGTTCCAGCGAAAAGAGGGCTTGAATATTCGTTAAAAGACGAGACATTCAAATGTATCTTGGCCATTTGTAAAAGGATGAAGATGTTTTGGTTGTTTTGCCAACAGGTTATGGGCATATTATGGCAAATATTAAAATATTTCAGCTGCTACCTGACGTGTACGACATGTTACTTGGCGTAACTAATTCTATCGTAATAGTAATATCTCCACATGAATGACCAAGGCATTTCTGCATGCATGATAGTATGTCAAAGTATGATACATACAAGGCCATTCTGTGCTACACTATATTATGGTGATGGCAGCGATATTAAATTACCATTGGGTCGACATGAGAACCTGACGTTTAAGCTGTTCTATATGCAACCAGAAATGTGTGTCTATGACAAGAAAATACAAGCTTTTTTCAACTGTATACTGTAAACCTCTGAATATAATGCTCACCTCATTCCAAATATAAGCCCCCCCCCCCAAATATAAGCCCCCCTGAATATAAGTCCCCTGAATATTAGCCCCCTGAATATAAGCCCGGTATCCCACTATGTTATTTAACATTGACATTGTCTTTAAATATAGCAGAGAACGATATTTGAAACACTGTCATTGTCTTTATAGCTTACTATGTTAATGGAAGTGTGTTATTAATACATGTTTATTTTCCTGTTTATGAGTGACTGACTTGTTTATTACTAACACAATTGATTGTCCATGTATAAGGCCCCCATGCATATAAGCCCCCCCCCCCTAAGCCCATGAAAAATCGCTTCAAAAGAATATAAGCCCAGGGTTTATAGTCAGAGGTTTATGGTATTATATATCACATATTTTAACAATACACATTATTTTTTATATTATATTACATTAACATATATACATGGACCACATATAAAGTCTTTAAATGACAGTACATTGTGTTTGTAATTATAATTACAGAATTACTATAATTACTTGTGTCAAAAGTAAGAAATGAAGTGAACAAATCCATATATATTTGTTGAACAATTCTTGGAGTGGGTATCTTCCATTTGCTTTTCATGCTTCACACTGTGTATCTTTGGACATTTAATCAGCAACTAATTATAGGAAAGGATATATTTACTAGCTCATTTCTCCATATTACCAGGTACATAACATGCAATATATCAACCTTGCAATCCATGCTTTAACCCATGCAGTTGCCCCTCTCCTGCAGCATGTTTGGGAAGGAAGAGTAAGGAATGGAGGTACTGTAATTTCTAAATTTAGCTCCCTTCTCTTCAAGCCCCTCTCCAATAACCCCCCCCCCCTCATTTGGATACAAAAATATAAAATAAATAAGCCCCCCCCCTCATTTGGATACAAAAATAAAAAATAAGCCCCCCTCGGCCAGCCCCTCCTCTTTTAACCATGCAGCCCTCAATTAATTCTTAAAATCATGATATATATTGCATTTCTGCAGTATTTTAATAAAGTATAGTACAATGGTAACTCTGAATATAGACATTTTTTAATGGTAACCAGACTTATTGCATATATTAAGAACAAGTGCCCCCTCAATGATGCTTAGGAAACAATAATACCCAGGAGGCTTGATACAGAAATTAAAGTAGTTATTTGATTGAAACTGGTTAACTGGTAGCTATTTCAATTCTACTGTATCTCCTTTTATATAGAATTGAATTAATTGCCAATATATTCACATAGTATAATAGTTTGGAAATGGAATCAATACTTGTATATTTTTAGCAAATGAGCATTGTTATTTGATCAAACAACATTGTTTCATATAGCGACAGACAAGGAAACATTTGTATTTAAATTCACTACTTATTTTTTATCCAGACATAAATTGATGCAAAAATTGTTTCAGGTTTGGCTTAGTTATAGCCTTACATCGGGCTATTCCAATTAATATCCGTACCCCCCTGTCGAGGATCCCTGGAATTCTTCAGGGGTAAAGGGTTTTGAGCTTGGAATTCTTCAGGGGTAAAAGGTTTTGAGTTTGAAATTCTTCAGGGGTATAACCATGAAAAACATGTATCCTTGACAGGGGGTGTACGGATATTAAATGGAATAGCCCATCATGCTGTCAAGTGGCAATCACTTACAAAGCAAGTCTATAACGAAATGTTTTACAACCTGAGGAACTTCTTAAATCAATTATTCTATAATTTATACAGATGCTACAAAAACACCTGGCATCTTAAATTTATATAGATAACTCCATTTACAAAAGCACAAAGACCACAGGCTAGCTACAGCATGTTGAGTGTTGACCATAATGCACTGTATTGTTTAAAGCTTCAAGTTTTTAACACAAGCAAAAGCTGTCACTCCAAAGTTCTGGCAACAATATGTCAATTTAACAAAACGACGTGTGCGATGATTTCATTTAGCCTGAATTAGCCAATTCTTCCATGGTTATAATAAATATACTCATACTGTAGATCGATAAAAAGTCATTCATAAATACCATGCCATTTTGTAAATATATACCCAACGTCCCAATACTTTTTCATACGATTAATATAATATATCCTTCGATTTATATTGTTTGATTTCGCATTCCAAAATCTGATAAACTCATAAACATTGATAATTCTCTCTTCGCGTATGTCCACGCGTAATTCTCGTAAAAAACACGCATTAATTGTGTCGGCAGCATTGATCATCACGGCAGCCAATCAAATAACGATTTCGATTCGATTTCCCCAGAGTCATGCCACAACCTAACCCGCGAACAGGCATACTCTGGGAACGAGATTGTATAACTCTCAAAACAACGATGCTTTAATCAAAGGGCTTAAATTCGCTCTGAAATCCGTGAGGGAATAACAAAATTCGCCCAAAATATATCCGCGTGCCGGGTTTGCTGGACAAAAAGCGGAAGTCGTTGAACAACTCAAAATACACTCAACCCTGATTGGACAACGAAAATCAACAAACATTTAAAATTTCTGTAGTCAGTAATGTAATATAAATTTGAATCAAAACAATTAACAAATGTTGTCGGGGGGAAACCAGTACAAATCTAAATATTTAAATTTAAGAAGTTTAGTCAGTATAATAACGTTTGTGAATTGTTTTGATTCAAATAATCAAATTATTACAGTACTGTTCCAAGTACTATCCCCCTTCCCAGTGCCAGTGGAGAAAAATTTGAAATGTTTGTTGATTTTCGTTGTCCAATCAGGGTTGAGTGTATTTTGAGTTGTTCAACGACTTCCGCTTTTTGTCCAGCAAACCCGGCACGCGGATATATTTTGGGCGAATTTTGATATTCCCTCACGGATTTCAGAGCGAATTTAAGCTCTTTGATTAAAGCATCGTTGTTTTGAGAGTTATACGGTATCATTCTTGCAGGGGATATCGATTAATCGTGAAAGAAATGCATTAAAGGCGAAAAATCGAGGATAGTTTCGTGTGACATATGCCAAGTCTGGGCTATTTTGGTCTCAATGTTTCCTTCCTTCCCTCGTTATAAGGAAGGCACAGGCGGGCGCGGGCAAATCGAGCCTGGGCCTCCTGTGGTTATACCAGAAGCGTAACTCGAGCAAATATTTGTCCGCGTTTTTACAAGCGATTCGTCATCAATCACGCCATCCTGGCTAGTACAACCGGCACTTTGTACCTACCAAATCCATCCTCGTCCCCAGGCCCAAGCTCGGGCGGCCCTCACAGTGGCCCTGGTTCAGGCTGTTGATCTGCGTCGGAATTCCGACGCAGAGGCTTGGTCGCACAGCATATGCATTTCTCCCTAAAAACATGGCGACCGCAATGAATGCAACTGTACGAGGAAGGCAGAAACAATATATTTTCCACTTGCGAAAACAAATAATACTCAAATTAAGTTAAAGGAAGAGCAGAAAGAAGATATTCGTAAAATAGTAAATGCAATGGATGTTAAATCGTTGATATATTCCAACTTTTACCGTCCATGTTCGACTACATTAGGGACCGATCGTTTATTACGTCTCAGGGGGGGCGGTGGTTTTTTTAGAAACATTGTCAATAAAATATGCACCCCCCCATATTTTTTGGAAATGAAAAAATGACCCCCCTGTTCAACTATATAGATTAAAATTTAAAAATATACCCCCCCCCCAATTGCACTAGGCATTTCTAGGCATCAAACCTCAGTGCATCAAATATTCAAATTATAAGGCCTCGCGAAATTGCTAATTCAATATAATATCGAGTCATATATAAAAGCAAGATTGCGTATTTTGACATTCAATACAAAACAGGAAAACGTTATACAAAAATATCATATTAATGAATGATATAAACATGTAAAAGTAAAAATGCAATAATATTTATATATTATTATAAAATGTAGATAAAAAATACCTTTTTTGAAACATTTTCCGCCATGTTTTTTTTCAGGTGTAAACCATTGACTGCAATAATTCCGTTCAGCGGAGTCACTAAGGGCCTGTTCATATGATCCCGCTTTAATACCAGGACGTCTCGCTTACCGATGATCTCGCCGCCTATCTATTTTCCTATAAAATTTTGCATTGTGTTCATATGAGAAAGCGACCTGGCCCGCTTGCCGAGATCTCGTTTGAATTTGCAGAGATCATAGGTAGGCGGGATGAAAATTTTTCCGTAATGAACACGCCAGCCCGCTTACCTGGATGAAGTCAAACAAGTCTTGCCGGTTTAATTTAACACTTTTTACTTGGTTTTATGTTTGTTTTGTAAACAAGTATTAAATAAGCATCTGAAGAAATACTTTTTCTTGTAAATAAACGAAGAAAAACACTAAAATCGCTAAGTATTTGTGTTGCTTGACTGAAATGTAGAAGTTTTGCATACGCTATTAATTATGGAACTACAATGTAATTTCATCTCGGCAAGCAGGACGAAATATTCCATATGAACGCACGGAAATATTCGTCTTGGTAAGCGAGACGTCCCGGTAAGCGGTATCATATGAACAGGCCCTAAAAACCATTGAACTAAACTTTCAACTATAAAGAGTTGACTGCTAAGAACCAGATTCCAGTCTTCTCTATGCAAAAATGGCACACAATGGCGCAATCTTGCTTGATTAGTTGTATTTGTTTTTCTTTTTTTCAAATTCAAAATGGTAGATATATTTTGAATTTCATCTCATACACCAAATAAAGTCATTTTAATATGTAAGAATCGTTTGCAATTTCAAAATTTAACCCCCCCTCTTTTCCTTTCGGGAAACAAAAAACTACCCCCCCAAAATAGCCATATTTAAAAAATTAACCCCCCCTCAAAAACCACCGCCCCCCCTGAGACGTAATAAACGATCGGTCCCTTAATTCGAGAAAAAGAAATATTTCTGCTGTGTTGCCAGTCATGCCAGAAACAATTGTAATCGTGATTTTCCCGTTAAATGCAGTGGTGGGCGACCAAATAGACAAGCTAAAAACTCACATGGGTGTTAAGGCAGTTGTTTTACGCCATGATCAAGAAATGAAAGGTGTGTATTAACTATTAAAAATACTTCATTTTGTTATTTTTGTATTTAATACAGTACATAATATGTATAGACGGTAAATAGACCCGTTGCCTAAAAGCCAACTGGTTGGAAAGTTTATCGAAAATATAATTAGCATCAAGCAATTACTATTAAGTGTACTTGCCATGTTGGGGTCTTGGGGAAATCAGGATTTTTCTGTTATCAGCAGCTATCAAAATGGTATGCATTATTAAATAAATTTATTTGTCTTTTTATAGCTTATGTATCAACAAAGTATGGATGTAAGGCCTCAGAGGTTTGCCTACACATGAGAACAAAAACAACACTGTAAAGTGTTGCAAAGTGCAGAAAGCAAACAAGAACAATAGTCAAAAACAGAAACACCAG